GTCCATGGCAGGCCTGTGGTGCCCTTGCTAGGCCTCTGGTGCCCCTGACAGGCTTGTAATGCCCCTGGAAGGACTGTGGTGCCCCTGGGCTCTGACAAGCCTGAGGTGCCCCTGACAGGCCAGTGGTGCCCTTGCTAGGCCTGTGGTGCCCCTGGCAGGCCTCTGGTGCCCCTGACAGGCTTGCGGTGCCCTTGGAAGGACTGTGGTGTCCCTGGGCCCTGACAAGCCTGAGGTGCCCCTGACAGGCCCGTGGTGCCCTTGTTAGGCCTGTGGTGCCCCTGGCAGGCCTCTGGTGCCCTTGCTAGGCCGCTGGTGCCCCTGGCAGGCCTCTGGTGCCCATAGGCGCGGGAGCCGGGGGGCAGTGGGGGCAGCTTGCCCCCCAACTCTGGGGCCGTGGGGGCGGTGCCCCCACAGCTTTGAGACGGAATACCACACTTTTTTGCAAATGTTTTCTTTTTTTGTTGAAAAAGTCGAGGGGTGAAAAATAAGTGGCCTAAAACCGGTGAGAAAACTAGATTTGGGGGTACCCTAGGTTAATCTTTATTATGGTGTGCCCCCCAGTCGGAAAGTAGTTCCAGCGCCCCTGCTGGTGCCCCTACGCCCGGAGAGGACTGGTGCCCCTGAAAAGTCTGAAGTGCCCCTCGGCTGGCCCGTGGTGCCCCTGACAGGCCCAAGGTGCCCCTGCGAGGCCGGTGGTGCCCCTGGCAGACCTCTGGTGCCCCTGGCAGGTCTGTGGTGCCCCTGGCAGGTCTGTGGCGCCCCTGGCAGACCTGTGTTGACTGGTGCCCCTGCTAGGTCGCTGGTGCCCCTCACAGACCTGTGGTGCCCCTGGGCCTTGACAAGCCTGAGATGCCTGGCTATGACAGGCTCGTGGTGCCCCTGATAGACCAGTGGTGCCCTTGCTAGGCCTGTAGTGCCCCTGGCAGGCCTCTGGTGCCCCTGCTACCCCTGCGCCCGGAGAGGACTATGGTGCCCCTGAAAAGCCTGAAGTGCCTCTCGACAGGCCCGTGGTGCCCCTGGGCCCTGACAGGCCCAAGTTACCCCTGCGAGGTCGGTGGTGCTCCTGGCAGGCCTCTGGTGCCCCTGGCAGGTCTGTGGTGCCCCTGGCAGGCCTGTGTTGACTGGTGCCCCTGCTAGGCCGCTGGTGCCCCTCACAGGCCTGCGGTGCCCCTGTCCCTAGGGGTGCTCATGGGCCCAACAGGCCCGTTGTGCCCCTGACAGGCCTGTCGTGTATACTTGCTAGACCTGTGGTGCCCCTTCTTCCTGGCAGGCCTGCGGTGCCCCTGGCGGGCCTGTGGCGCCCCTACAAGGCCGTAGGTGCCCCTGACAGGTTTGTGGTGTCCCTGGAAGGACTTTGGTGCCCCTGACAAGCCTGAAGTGTCAAGGACAGACCCTTTAGACGCCAGGGTCAAGTTCGTCGGACTGACAACGATTTGCTTACCTGATAACGTTCCTGGTAAGTACTCACTACTCAGCGTCCACAACATATATACACATAGCACATTCATATATACTTGCTTACAATTGGTAAATGTGGTTGTGGCTAAGAGTTAAGATACTGACTAAAAATAAAAAATAAAAATAAAAAACTGAAAATGGGGGCACCACCAAAATGAAGTGGACGAAATCCGTTGAGTTTTTAATTTTGGGTATAGGTAGGGGCACCACTTCGATTCATGACCCTCCCCTTGGAGTTTTCCTGGATCCGCCCCTGCAAGTTATGTCATAATTTGGAAGCAAGCATTTTGTATTCCCGTTATAACTTCTACTATCCAGTGTCAAAGACTTTATGACAACATATATTTACGTTTTTCTTTTATCGCTCCGAAAAGTGCCTATTACAAACACAGATCACCGGCATGATGGCGATGCTCGTGGTCATGATACGGCCACACTCTTGCTTTTCGGCGGGTTTTCAAGCTGGCCGCTGGCCGCTGGTCTCTTGTGGATTCAGCTGCGTCCACGTGGGAGAAATGGGAGAAATGACGACCGCATGAACGAAACCGGAATGTGGTAGCCCTCCCCTTGAACGTAGATCTAGCACGGGGCGTCATATCACGCGGACTTTTGGCAGTCACCATTGCGCTTTGTATCAAACCTGGAGTCGGAGTCGGAGTCGGAGTCGGAGTCGGAGTCGGTCAGGAGCCCGGAGTCGGAGTCGGAGTCGGAGTCGGAACTGCACTACCACGACTCCGAAACCCTGCTCCTCACCATTGCCACCCCCATTTTAATCGTCACCCTTCCGCTCATTGGCGACTTCCAGTTGATGACCGCCCTCCCACCTATTGGCGACCTCTTGTTGATCGCCACCCTCCTATTGGTGCTCTCCTGTTCCTCGCCACCCTCTTACCTGGTGGCGCCCTCCTGTTGATTGTTGATCGGCGCCCTCCTACCTATTGGTGCCCTCCTGTTGATCGCTGCCCTTCTATCCATTGGCGCCCTCCTGCTGCTCGCCAACTTCCTACCTATCGGTGCCCTACTGTCGAAACTCGGGATGTTGATCGGGGCTCTTCTACCTATTAGTGCCCTCCTGTGGATCGCAGCCCTTCTACCTATTGGCAACATCCGTTGATCGCTGCCCTCCTATCATTTATTTACTCCTTTGGCATGTTTTTCAACTTAGTCGTTCTATTGCACATAGTTGATGTCTTGCCTGTGAAAACTGCCACAAATGAACGTGCATTCAGCACAATGAATGAAGTATCTATACCTACCAAAACTATCTACGCTCTACGATGCATAAAACACGTCTTTGGTCTTAACGGATTGATCCTACTTTACGTGCATCATGGCATCTATATGGATTACGATTAAGTATTGTCAACAGGTTCGGGCGCAACAGCAGGCATCTGAAGTTTCGGTGATTGAAACTGGTTATGTGGGTACACTGTATGCATCTGTGAGAAGGCTATGAAGGCTGGTCTGAGGTAATTTGGATGATGTTTACGCATCTCGCGCTCCGGTATCAATCCGATACGGTGATCTGGTGCGTAGATATGCCACCGCCAATAAACTTTTATACATCGACACCCATGAGCCAAGCTTTCTGTACAGTTTGTGTGGCAGCGGCCCGACCAAACCTTAGGTATTTTTTACACCTTCAAATTTGGTAAAAGAGCGAGAGGAGCTTTGAACAGTGATCGTATAAAAGGCGTGCCTAAAAAGCGGAGGAAAAGGTTGTTTTCAAAAATTTCGCGCGCCTTCGGCGCAGCATTTCAAGAACACTTGACCTTTTGTGACCTGGAGTATAAAGAATACACACGATGCAAAATCAATGCAGCACGACCTATACGAGGTTACGCAAAAAAAAAAAAAAACTGGTGGCATGGTAAAAAACGCCTCCCAACCCCCCAACCCCCACTGAGCGATTTTTTATCTCGCGACCGTATGGCGCCCTCCTTGGGTGAGGTGGCGCCCTCCAAACCCTTGGCCCCCCCTTCGCGATTTTCTAAATACGCCGCTGGTCGATGTCGTTTCCCCCTCCATCAACTCGCTCGGGGCGGAGGTGCACACTGCACGCTAGGCGCCGGCGGACGTACGTGCAGCCGTGCAGCCTTATCTCCCGGGCTGGTGACTGAGACACTAGAGCACACCGCGGCGCGTGCAGCCACCCCTCCGGCGCGGCGGCCGGCGCGGCCTCAGTTCTCGGTCTGCACATTACGACACTGCCGGGGCAGGAACTACGCCTCTGTGGACACGGTCGGCGGCCGCCTGTGCACCCCGTGACGGTCTCTGCCAGGCTCCGCGGTTAGAGGATCCCTGCAGACGGAAAGATATACCGCACAGAAAACAAACACGTTCGTAAATTGGGCGGATGGCAGCACAGGCGACTGCCTGTGCTGGCAGTCGCCTGTGTCGACCCTCGACCTCTGGGACTGGGAGCACGTTGCAGAGGAGAAGTCTGTTGTCTAAGAAGAGCTGCCTTTTATATAAGCGTAAACTGCATTGTTTATTTTTTCCAGAAGTCTTTCGATCTCCTACATTTATGATTTATAATAATATAATTAAAATTGTTTGACCTCTTTATGCAAAATACTAAATGTTCCGCTGGATAAGAGGCATCTGACAGGTGACAGCTGACACTGTATGACAGCTGCAATGATGTAATTATTGAATGGCGGGCGGCGGCCCAGAGGCTACCTGAAGGCTACCTACCATTTTTATCATTTTCATGTATATTCCTAAAAAGTCACATTTCAACCAGTGACAGAAGCAAACGTCTAAGACGTTTATTTATACGATTAATTCATTGCAATACAATTATACAGGATTTTAAAAGATTGACTTGCAGTTGCAGGGGCTATGCGCTGTAGGTATATGACAAAGGCTGTGCTCCTGATCCTGTCTCCACGGGGCACCTTTTAACCATTCTTTATATGCCCCGACCAACCATGCAAAACTGCATAAATATCGTTACACTTTTGGCTTTCCCGATGATAAAGAGAGCAGTCAAGACTAAGAACGGAGGAAATGTAAGCAGTTTACCGGGTTTATTTTCCCTGGCTGATCGTTCGATTCAATCGATACTAATCTTTACCTTGACGAAATAATCTCTCTAGGTTACCGCTTGCTGCTTTTAGTTATCAGCTTTTAGCCATGGCTGCGGCTATTGCGGTAAATTGTGCGTATATTGACATTCGCAGCGATGCTTACATGCAGTACCTACTGTAGAGTATCGTAATTTGGTGAAGGCTGATGGGTGGAAGTCCCTGAGCTTGTTTCGTCTGTCCTATTTATTATGTCGCTGTGCCAGTTTTCCACGCTGTGATGTTTCGGTGAATAGTTTCCCGTTATGTGAATGCCTGTGATCTCTGCCGCTCGTCCTGTCCTGTAGCGCTGTGCTGTGCCATGCTGTACCATGAGCCGTGCCGTGTATAACAGACGTCCCGGCCGCTGGACGTACATACCGCGGCTTGCCCAGCAACGAGTGTGCACCGGGCGTGACCTGACCCTGAGCGGCGGCGGACACCGAGTGACCCGCGTCCTGTCTCCCGTGACAGCTGTAAGCTGCCCCCATCTCGCGCATCACACCCGCCCCTGCCTCCCGTGGTAGTTGATCCTGCGTGCCCCACACGAAGGAAGGCCGTTCCTGTGTCACCGGGCGGCTTGGTGCCTTTGCCTCCCGCTTTGTAGGCAATGCTGCAACTGACTACCTCGCTCTGTTCCCAAGAGCGCCGTCGCCGGCTGTTCCGCGTGCTGACTACCATGCTGAATCGCCGGAGGGCGTACCGGCAGGGCTAGTGGGTTGGTGGTCAGGTCAGAGCAGGTCAGGTGAAGTGTGTATAATCTGGGAGCTCACTAATGACCACGCGCTAACCCCTACTAACCCAGGTGCGTGCACGTGGCCATCTAACCCGCTCTGGATAATGACTGATGGGGCTCGGCTGGTCGGCCCCTGAGAAGGCGCAGCTCGGCCTGGGGTGCTCTCCTTGGCACCCAAGCTGTAAGATAAACCACAGGGGCTAACCACCAAAATACACGTATTAAAAAGCTGCGGTTACGCTGGCACAACACCTGGCTCGTCGCGTTGGTGAGACACCCGTGACCGAGTGTTTCATCAGGCGCATCGCCGTCTGGCGCGTGCCCCTGAGGCGTCACAAGGTCACGTGTGGCCCGTTCCGCGCGGTCTGTCGCACCACGACCTCACCTCCGGCTTTGGCCCGGTGGCATTGGTCGCTCGGTAACTGAACGGCTCACCGCCCACACACTGAGGTGTGCCCCGCGCCCGCCTCAGTTCCGGGGTGTGTGCCGCGGTACAGACACTCATGTGACGCCAACCGAGACGGAACGCCCCCACAGGGGCTTCCTGACAACCGCGCCGAGTCATGGAGACTCGGTCCTCGCGAGTCATTCAATATTCACTGTCACCCTCACACCACCGTAGGCACACCGCAGCGCGTTCAACGGTGCTCTCTCTCTCTCTCTCTCTCTCTCTCTCTCTCTCTCTCTCTCTCTCTCTCTCTCTCTCTCTCTCTCTCTCTCTCTCTCTCTCTCTCTCTCTCTCTCTCTCTCTCCTTTCTTTTTTGATCTGTTCCTATGATTTATCTTTGTGATCGTTTGCATGAATTTTGTAAACCTACGAGTGTGGGTTACACCATGGCTTGTTTGCACGTTTTTTGTGCACGTACACTTGGAATGAACAGTGCACAGCCCGGTGCACGTTGTCACTACAATCACATGATCGATCACGGTGGTCGGCCACGACCTCACAGTCACGATAGCCAGGCACGGTTTGGTCAAAACCTTTGGAATGCACACTTGTTTGTTTTTCTGTCTCCTCGGTTGGCTTTAGTTGCATCTTGATATCTGTTTGTTTGCTCATGACATCTCGTTCATATTTTTTTTTTTTACAGTTGTGTAGCTCTAGCAATTCATTTATGAATTCATCTTCAGCGCACCATATCATTGACTCAAAGCGATCTCCCGCACCTGTCGCCGACGGCTAATGCCTTTAACATTTGCTATGCCACAGATTCTGACTGACTGTCTCCGTCTTCCTGTTACAGTGATGGCCTTCGGTGACGAGAACGTACCGGACCAGGCACGGAATACGGCGCGGCGGCCGGCCGACTCCGGCTGGCGGCTGGCGGCCGGTCTCCTGCTGACCGCCGTCCTGGTCACCACGGCACGGTCCGAGCTCTGACAGAACGCGCTCCGACTGTGATGGACGCCGGCGCGTCATCAGAGCCCGCCGGCCTCCGACTGTGCTCCCGCTGCTCCGCTGTGCGTCGGCTCCACTGTGCGTCGGCTCCACTGTGCGTCGGCTCCACTGTGCGTCGGCTCCACTGTGCGTCGGCTCCGCTGTGCGTTGGCTCCACTGTGCGTCGGCTCCGCTCTAGGAATGCCCGACCATGTTCTCACGACGCCGTGCGATGCCGAGCGATGCTGAGTGACCGTCCGACCGAGGACCGCAGCGCGGCGCGGAAGGGGACGGATTGCCGCTGACCCAGGTCACCCCAGCTGTGTCGAGTGGTGCCGCGCGGTCCGCCTCACTCCGTACCGCGCTGCGGTGCGCTCTCGCCTGCGGCAGTACGCTTTGTGTGCCGGCGAGGACAGCTATGCATTTTGCAGCCATACGTACGGGCATGGATGGACTGGCTCCAGCGCGGTGGTGCTTTGGACCGTTTGGTACGGTCTGAGATTGTTTCGATGCGATGGATGACGTTGTGTGTAAAAATGTCTATCGGCATCGGTTAGAGATTGACTATCAATCGTATTCAGATCTTCAGATGCAGATCTCTTTGAAAACTGAGAAGATTTGAAACGTCACTCACATGGGTCGGCTATGGTTATCCATTGTTGTCCGGAGCTTTATAAGAGCATAAGTGGTGCACAATGTATGAATACGCTGTCAGAGGGACCATTATTCGTTTGTTTTTACGAAGAGCTGCTGGAGTAATGCAGTTCAGAAGAATGGCTGTCGAGGGCGACATTTCGTGAAGCGCGCGTCGGTTTGATCTAAATAAGTCATCACCTTCATCGCATTCTGTCATCTTCCTCATTCATCATCATCATCAATATACCGTCAACGTTGGCGGTCGTGCTTTTTGTGTAGCATTGAAGGAGGCCGATCTGGACGATACGACGCATGTAATTATTTTGTTAATCTTCTTTGAAGTTACAGCTAGAGCAATTATCCATCTAGGTTGAACAAACCATTTTCGGAATTCCTGCTTTTCAATTGCGTTTCCTTAGAAATGAAAAGAAAGGTATGGATTTTGGCCTCTTCTGTTTTGATTGATAACACTTTTTTTGGAGTTCATTAGACATCGCTCTCCTTTCCAAGTGATATTTCCTTGCCCTTGTTTATTTGCATTCAAGCGAGAGACCAAATAAACGTTGCATTATGAACTGAATATCGCTGTTTTTTGGCTGTTCTGCAGACTTACACCTTGATCTGAGTGCTGACGCTGTTGCCACACAATGTAAAAACAACCACCTCTGCAGATAACTCGAGAACTACCGGATCGATCGATACGAAAATGCCACCAGTTGATTCGCCGAATTATATTTTATCAGCCCTCTTGAGCGTGGTGATCGTTCTCAAGTGACCTCAGTGAACTTGGGAGGTCACAAGAGCCTTTTCTCCTATGTCACCCATTCTATAACTTAGGGACTACTTGGCCGATTGAAACGAAAATACCAGTCGATTCGCCGATAGGCAATTTATCAGATGGTTCTAATATGTTGACCTCAAGTGACCTCAGTGACCTTTAAAGATCAACTGGACGATTTCGCCTAGTGCAGTCATTCTAAATCAGCTAGGAGCTACTGGGCCGATACAGGTAGACGAAAATGCCACTTTCGATTCGCCACTTAATATTTAATCAGGCTTTTTGTATTTACGTTAACCTAAGGTGGCCTTAGCGACCATGGGAGACCACCTAGCTGTTTTCGCATATGACAGCCTATGTAACTCAGGAGTCAGGATTTTGTCAACGTCAGTAAATTACTAGCGCCGGGCCGGGGTAGCGGTATTTAAGTACTCGAATGGTCCCATTTTTTTTTTTGTTACTCTGCTTGCAGAAGAAACTAAAGGCGGTAAGCAAAGAAACTTGTGCGCGGGTCGCGCGCTACTTCCCTTTGCCGCTGTTCCTGTGGCCATTGTGCAGAGTGTTCAAACCCGTTTTACACTCGTTTTACATAAGAAACTGAACATTTTTTTTTCTGCAACCTTGTTACCTTACCAGTCACCTAAATACAACTTCCGACCGGGAGCACAGACAACCAGATAAGAATTAAGTTTGATAGCCGAAACGTGGCAGCCCTTTCGGCTCTGCTTTTGCATAATTTTCATCCCCCGACTGTAAGGAGGGAGGTGCTTATGCTGAGAATAGGGAAAGGTCGCTAATTAGGTACCTTCCCCTTTAATAGAGCATAGGCAGCAAAGCTTCAAGCCTATAGTAAATCCTCGCCCGTTTTGATGTTTTGCCAGCCGCGAACGTATGGGGGGGGGGGAGGGGGTGCCGTTCCGCCCCTCACCGAGCTAGGCTTCGCGGATAAAAAGAGCGTGTTGCCCGTGATGAGAGGAAGCCGATGATACCAACTTAAAGGTCTTAGGTCTTTGCTTGACCTTCATGGTCAGGTCAATGGCCCAAAAGTCAGGGAAATCGGGACCTGCCAGAACTTTGTAAAGTGAGGTTGTTTTGGGGTTTTTGGGGGTGCTGATCATGAATTTCCTGTTAGTTTTGATGACAGATTATTTATGTCTTCATGCATTCAGGCCAGGTCGGGTCGGGTCAGGTCAGGTCCACCAGTAGGCATCCTGCCGGTTATTCATAGTAGGTGTCAACCACCACAGACAGCTTCAAACATGTTACGAAGGCACCAAAACAAACCACTTCGTGTTCAAATGGTTTCTAAATTCGAAATCAGCTAAAAATAAACTAGACTAGAAGCATCTAAAACTCGAAAAAGTGAACCAAGGTCATCAAAGGTCAATGACGTAACTTGACCTTCATGTGACCTTGTCACCCACCAAAGTGCATGGGACCAACATCATACCATATGTTTGAGCGTTCAAAACCACAAAAAGACCACAAACTCGCGGATAATGTGAGCCGACCTATATACGTCGAATCGCGATTCCGGACAAACATGGTCTCGAGGATAGGTCACAGGTCAAAGATCATTCGGGTCAGGGTCATGAAATTCTCAGGGTATGTGTAAAGTTGATTAATTCGAGTTTCGTCGCGATAGGGCGCCTTTTGAGCGAGTTATTTGCGAAAAACATAGGAGAGAGGGTCCGTTCTACACCCCCTGAAAGTTCGAGCGTTGAGACGCTTACAAAATTAGGTAACCCCATTTGTTATTTGAATTGGTGTGTTAACGATTTATGTTACTGGAAACAGGGCCCGGAAAAAGATGAAATATGGGATGATAAGCGCATATAATTGCGCTCGGTAACTGCGACATTGCGTTGCTTACACCGCTGAGCATACAGAGCAATGAACTGAGCGGGGCTGCGGAGTCGGAGTTGGAGTCGGAGTCGGAGTTGGTCGGAGTCGACAGGTCTGTGCCCAGAGTCTCAGTCGAAGTTAACGGTGCATGGCTCAACGTCATGCACTGCACCTATTTGATTGACGATACTGCGCTCGAAATTCGATTTTGTCGAAAAAAATGCATTTTGATGTCTTGGACGAACGTTTTCAGCGAAAGAAGCAGAAGACGGTGAATTCCCCAGAACCTGCTCTTTAATTCTGCATGCTATTTTAATGCTTATTTGTAACGCAAAGCCTTGGAAGTTGGAACGCACAAGGGATCGTTTCAGGCAAGATAAAAACATCTCCATTATGAACTTAATATCATGATATGGATTTCAATCAAGATTTCAATAGAACCGTCCGGAGTCGGAGTCGGGGTTGGAGTTGGAGTCGGAGTCGATTTTTGAAGCCGGAGCCGGAGTCTGAGTAGCCGGAGTCAGTCATCCATCGACTCCGCAGCCCTGGAATTGAGTGTAAAAGCTTTGTTACGAGCATACGCCTCATCGTTAACGCTATAGAGCATATGCCGTCCTATTACTGCCAATGTAACAAGGACCATGACGCTGCCATTCCCGGAAATACCCCATTACATAAGCGGGACATGACTGTTATATAAGGTGGGCGGCTATGCTCATTTAGACGATTATTTGTGGTAGCATTTTATGATGCACCATCTCACCGCAGCTCGTTCCGACTATGAGCGTCAGACGACGTTAAATTAGAGCTGACACCATCGGACTCTGTGCCCTGGCCGTCATACGCCCGTAGGCTGTTGTCTCAATGTTTACCGTTGTTCCAGTGTTTACCATTGAGCAAAGAGCCGTGCAGCTGGATGAACAGCCTCCCCCGCTGACAGCTCGGCAGCCTGTTTACCCTGAGGCACTCAGCAGTCAGCAGACTGACCTCCGCCCCCGGAGCAGTCGGCCCGCCGCCCCCTCTGACACTGACCCAGTGGGGAAGCGCACCTTTTTACCTCGGCGCGGCGCCGTAGCCGAGTTCGGGTCAATCGCGGAAGGTCAACCGTTTGTCTTCTCAGCACTGGTCTTTTGGAGTTGCAGCGCAGCAGTGCACCGGAGTCAACTGTGCAACAAACTATCAATGATATTAGGAGGTCGGCTTAACCCTCGCAGGTGTGGCGTCTGCCAGCTTCCAACGTGTAGGGGGGGGGGGGGTCGGTTGAACCCCCCTTGCCGTTTGGCCCCTGATCGAGCTAGAACTTCGCGGAAAAAACGAGCGTGTTGCCCGTCACGAGACGAAGCCGATGCTACCCAATTCTAAGGTCCTAGGTCATTGGTTGACCTTCCAGGTCAGGTCAATGACCCAAAAGTCGGGAAAATTGGGACCTGAAGTCGTAAAGTGTGGCTGCTGTTTTTTTTTGGTGCTGATCACGAATATTGTGTTAGTTTTGATCACAGATGATTTCTTTTTAGCATTTAGACCAGGTCGGGTCAGGTCAGGTCAGGTCAACCAGTAGGGGTCGTGACGGGTATTCGTAGTAGGTGTCAACCGCCTCTGACAGCTTCGTAACATGTTACGAAGGCACCAAAACTACTTCGTAAATGTTCAAATGGTTGGTCAATTCGAATTCAGCTCCAAAAACTAGCCTAGAAACATGTAAAACTCGAAAAAGTGAACCGAGGTCACCAAAAGGTCAATGACCTGACCTGACCTTCAGGTAACCTTGACATACACCCTACCTAATGCATGGGAGCAGCATCGAATCACATGTTTGAACGCTTGAAACCACGAAAAGCTTGTAAACGCGCGGCTAATGCGAGACGACATACGCCAAATCGCGATTCCGGCCAAACATGGCCTCGAGAAATAGGTCACAGGCGAAGGTCACTTGGGTGAGGGACGAGGGTCATGAAATTTTGAGAGTAGGTGTAAAATTGATCAATTCGAGGGTACTGAAAGTTCTACTGGTTGACCTGACCTGACCTGACCCGACCTGGCCGAAATGCATAAGGACATCATCTGTGATATTAACCCTCGCCCATGTAGGGGGGGTTGGTGCAACCCCCCCTGAGGTTTTTCGGAAATAGTGCAAAAACGCGCCGCCAAATTTTGGGTACCTTATGGGGCAAACCTTGCGCATCTTTTGATAAAAAAATTTGACCGGGTCATGTCAGGTCACGGAGTTATGACGTCACAAAGGGAACAGCCTCCGGCCGGATTTTCACAAACTGAGTGCCAACGCCCGAGGTTTCCTGCCGGTGGCACGGACATCGGTTGATGGATCGTGATGAAACTTCCCATGCATGTTGGGGCAAGTATTGGCTATCATATGGTATAAGAAACTTGACCGGGTCAGGTCAGGTCACGGAGCTATGACGTCACAAGAGGAACAGCGTCCGGTACTATTTTTGAAAAGCGCCCGAACCACTATTTTGCTAATTCTTGTCACCTCAATGGGAATAGGGTAAGGTGCCTAATTTGCGACCCCCTTAATTTGAACTGTCATTGCTCACGCTCCATGGGTGCCACTGTATTACTGGCTTGATTTTCAGAGAGATCGTTCATTTTTTCTATTACAATGTAGTCATTTTCTGCCCTAATATTCACGAACTTATTTGTAGTGAGCATTTTGGCAAACCATTGCAAAAAAAACGCTAATAGGGAACTCTTCCCGATTAGCGACCGGGGAGGGTCGCTAATAAGTCTATGGGTTTCCCCATATTAAAAATGTCAAAAAATGCGACGCCTGAAAAGATGAAATATGAACTCAAAAAGGTAACCAATTCGCAAAAGCACTCAAGTACTCGAACAGGAACGTTTATCCAACGCATTTACGTAAGTAAAAACTGATCACGTGATGCACCGAAGGCGAAAAGAAGGCGGAAACCCAAATTTTGCGGGCTATCTCGTATGAT